TATATATATATATACATACATAAATATATATGAATTAGCACGAAATTTCTTTCTTTATTAATTATTAATGAAACATTTTCATTATCACTTATTTGATAAAATTGAATAAACGTGCTTTTCTTTCTATTTTCTTTCTCATTGTGTGTCAAACATTCATTATTTCTCATTTATATGTTATATGTATAATTTATTTCTCATATACATTTATATATGTTACAGATACTTGTAGCCATAGTAGAGCTATCGAGTTTTATGCGGAATCGGTTATAGACAATAATGCTTTCATCGGCAAGTGCAGAAATGATTGCAATGATTTGTTTATTTCAATGGGATACGCTACACCTAAAAACGCGTTAGTATAATTTTTTTATTAATTTTTAATAGTGTTTAATGATCCACATTGTTTCTTATATGTTTTACAATTCTTCGATACAAAGATTCTTATATACTTAAAAAGGAATTGTAAAAAGACAAGAAAAATTTACATATTTTCCTCTTTCTTAATTGTATTATCTTATTTTTCATCATTATCATACTTTTAGAAAGGGTAATTATGATCTCGTAACAAATGCACATAGTCCTTATGGTCGAGGTTACGATGGAGTAAATAATGAATAGGATATTTTATTTACCAAAACTGATTATATTTATTACATGATTTGCATAAATTTTATTACATGTATGTATTAAATATTTAAATTTAGATAAAATAAATTAAAAAAATAAAATGATTAATTTTGTAAATTTGTCGTTATTATTATTATTATTATTATTTATAATACAATATAAATGTATGATGTTTCTATTTTTTTTTTTCTTTTAAATCATTATTCTCTCTTTTTTAATTATCTTACACGCATAATCCATTCAAAATTTTCGCGTAAACATTCAGAATTCAGAATTCATCTATACTTTTACTTTATCATAAAAATATATTTCTCACTTGTATCGATATCATAAATATTTTTTCGATTTCATTTTGATAACAGTTTAGAATTGTGTATTCACATTTTCGTGAATCACCGATAATTTTAATCACCCTCTTCAATCTTCGAAAGATCAAACGAATCTGATTTATCAATATTCTCATTTATTATATCATTCATTATACGAGATATTTATTGGAAAAATTTACATTTAAATATTATAATAAGAAATTTTCAGAAAAAAATGATAAAAACAAGAATTATTTTTTCTTCTTTTTTTTTTTTTTTCATAAGATAAATATCTATAGTTTCATTAAGAAACTTAGAATTAGAACTTGATTTTTAAACATATTATTATTCAAACAAACTTTGAAAATGAATAAAAAATAAATAGATAGATAAATATTATTTTCTCTTCAAACTTTTGAATTTAATATTTTTCCTAAAAATTTTTCCTTTTTAATAGTATGATGTCTATTTCAAAATATATAAATATAAAATTTTGAAATAGACATCATACTATTGATTTATATATTGATGTAAAATAAAAATTAAGAATTTTTAAGAATTTTTGTTTTTCTTATAAAAAAAGAATATTAAGTGCATCTTTTAATAGCATTTTTTGCTATAAATCTATTAACTATAATTTAACATTGTTAAATTAAATATTTTTTTGTAAATTTTGTATTGAAAAATCATAATATCCAAACGATTCGAATGGATGATATGAAACATCAATTATTATTTCAATTTTGAACTATAATTGATGAAAAATATTATAATTATGTGCAATATCGATGGAATACATTTTTAAGTATCGAAAGAAGTTCGTACTGATAATTAAGATAAAATTAATAAGATCGCAGATAAGAATGAATTATATAACAGGAAAATGATTAAGAATATGATATTTAAGTCTTGTAAAAAAGAAAATCGATCAGTTTCTGGTAAACAAGTAATTGAAAACAATAATTTCAATCATTTTGTTAATTATTTATATTTTTAATATTCAATTAAAAAAAATTGATATATAATTAATTATTATTATTAAAAATAAGTAAGTACTATATTAGATTCACCTATTCCACGAAAGAATTAAATTAATCTGTTAATTAGATTAATTTGTTTCATGAAAGAATTAATTGTTTCAGGAATTTTTTCATTTGAAATAATATACTCATTTGAAATTTTAGAAGAATTTAGAAAATTAAAAAAATAAACTAAACATAATTTTCAAGATTCAAATAAATTAATTTTATAATATAAATAGTTTGCATGAGTAATCAGAAGTCTTGAACTTGCCTATAAACATGGGCAACTTTCATTTCTATCTTTTTTTAGCGTTTCTTACTTTAATATTGACAGGTAAGTTCTTAATAAATTTTTATATATTTAAACTTTTATATATTTAAATTAACAATTAAAAAGTGAAAAAATTATCATTTTAATTATTATTAATAAATTTAGCAATTACAATCATAAGAAAGTCCTAAATTTGGAAAATTCAAAATAATTTGAAACTCTGAAATATAAATGTATTTCATATAAAAAATTTTTATCACAAAATTTTTCAAAATTCAATCAAAAATAGATGAAAAAATATTCTATAATAAATCATACTCACCTGAATAATATTCATATAAATAATAATCACATAGAATATAATTATTTTATGAGAATTTACATATTAATGAATTTTTATTAATTATCTTATTAATCTATTAATCCATTTTTAAGGACAACATATTTAATTAAGAAAATCGTTTTAATTTATTTTAATTTAATTTATTTATTAGAATTATATAAACACGATTTTTTACTTTAAAAGTTTCTTTTTTGTAGCAATTTTAATATAAAGTTTAAATATAATATAATACAATGTAATATAATAATAATAAGATTATTATTAATAATTTTGTTCACAGATGCTACGAATATAATTAATAAAAATTTAGACATAAATAAAAATGTTTTCTTACGTTTGTATAAAAGGTAGTTATTTATAAGTAACAAACTTAATGAATTCTATAAAAAAAAATTAATTCTATGATAATTTACTCACTTAAAATTCATCATGAAATGATTTTCTTTAGAGACGGCTCTCATATTGATAAAAATGTAAGGAATGCTGATCAATTATTATCTCATATACAAAAGAATAATAGTTTAGCATTTTACATAACTGGATACAGACATGATATCAATTCTGATAACGTAAAAATGGTAACGAATGGTAAGTTATGGAAATTCCGTCAATAATTTAACAATATTTTTATTTCTATATTTATCTCGTTTTCGCTTGTTTATGTAATAAAAATTAAATTAAATATATTTACATTCAATTGATTTTTTTTTGCATTTATTTAATCGAGCAGGGTTATTCCCATAAGGTTATCTTCATTTTAAGTCAGCAATAATATAGCTGTTCGCACATCAAGTTAATAATCTTCATATTTTTTTTATTATGATGATTTATTTGAATTATTAAATGCTAATATATATTATATTATTAGTAATTAACTATTAATTATTAGTAATTAACTATCATTTTATCAATTTATAAAGTATATTAATAATTTCTTTGACAATACATGATTATTCATTTACAAAATTATAAATCTTTTTATTGTTGAAAAAATCAAAATTAAAATGTATTTTAAATAATTTTCAATCTTTGGAATACAAAATTTTTTATATCAAAATAATAATAATAAAAGATATATTAAAATACATGATCTTTTGGTTATTTCATGATGTTAAATGCTTTATTGTTATTACATTATACAATTTTACAATTTATAAAATATTTTAATTTATAAAAATTTAAATGTTTATATTATAATACTATTATTAATGTTTATACTAAATAATATAATAGGCAAGATAATATATATGTTAATATATTCATTTCATAAATGAAGTAAGTATTAATATATTCAGAAATGAAGTAATAATTATATTCAGAAATGAAACTTTATCTCTATCATTTCATCTAAAGTATAGATAAACTTTAATTAATATTTTTATTTATTTGTTTTGACTTTTAAAATCCACTTTCTAAGAATGTTCCAAAAATATTTATATCTTTCTATAATTTACATAGTAATTTACAGATTTATATAAATAATTCATGAACTTGCTAAGAATGCATTATTATATTTTTATTCTTAGCATATTTATAAATTTATTAAACTTAAAAAACAACAACAATTTTGGATCAATCTTCTATATATAAACAATTAAAAAAAATCAAATTATTTAGCAATAATAAAAACTTAGCAATAATAAAACTTAAAACATATTTTATCAGAAATTTCTTAAATATAAATTATTTATATATTCCAAATATAAATTAAAAAAATTTTAAAATAACAATGATAAATATATTTTACCTATTTCTGAAATTAATCAAAAGTGATTCGACAAAATTACCTTTTATTATCGAATTATGAAATATTTACTTTTCATTTTCATTTTACAATATATTGTATTGCATTGTGTCATTTAAAGAATAATTAATTTTTAATTTTTCCTGAATTATTCTAGCATATTTAAAGAATACACAGGATAATATTTTGGCACTCGATTATCGGGATATTGCTGCTCAATTTTATCCAATTTCTGTGGTAACAATGAAAAAACTCAGCACACTTGTGGCCGATGCTTTGAACAATTTAGTGAAGGGCGGTGTGGATGCAGAAAAGATACATGTAATAGGATATTCACTTGGTGCACAAATTGCAGGCAGAATTGGTCGTCAAACGATCTTCAGAATTCCTAGAATAACAGGTATCATTGTGAATATTTTATTTCTTCATTAGAGAACTAAAAATGCAATATCTTAAAGAATTTAAAAAAATATTCAATCAAATAGTTTAATGATTATTTAATAATAAAATAATCTTTTAATGAATCTTTTTAATGAAAAAATAATCTTTTCTATGTTGTAATTTTTTATTTAATAATTTTAATTTTCTTATATCTTAGATTCTAGTTACGAGATTTTAAAATATTTGGATGCATTCAACATTTTTTTTACAGGCTTAGATCCTGCTGGTCCTCTTTTCTATCTTCTTAATGATCGATTGAGTACCTCCGATGCTGTGTTCGTAGATGTTATACATACAGATAAAACTGGCTATGGAACAACTCTGAAGGTTGGTCATGTGGATTTTTATCCTAATTATGGCCACAGACCGCAACCAGGTTGCCCGTTATTCGGTTTATTACTGTCGCCAAAAGGTTTGTACAAAATGTATAACTCTTAATTTTTTTTTATTTTTTTGATTCATTCCTTGAAAATTTTCGATAAACATTTTTTCAGTTCAATTTTAAAATCACAGTATAATCAATGATGATCAATTATAATCGGATGATCAATTCATCTTGAATATTAAGCACATGATGCTGTTTTAAAAAAATATTGAAAAATTGATTTTAAAATGATTTTTTCGTTTTTATATTAATTAATAAATATTAAAAGCTTGTTCTAAAAAATTTTTTGATATAATGATAAGATATAATGATAACAAGAAAAGTATATAGATATTCTCTTTCTTATGGCTCATTTCAATGAATTATTATGAAATTTTCTTTATTATCAAATTTCTAATTATATTATTATAAGACATTTTTTATCATTTAATGGAAAAGGAATGAATAAAACAGAAATCGATTCCAAAAAATTTCTTATTGTTTTTCGTTTATACGTGTTACAGATCTTTGTAGTCATCGTAGATCTTTTGAGTTTTATGCGGAATCGATTAGAAACAATACAGCCTTTATTGGTAAATGTACAAATTTCCAAATTTGGGGTTGTGACGGTGTTCCATTTATTCCTATGGGATATACTACACCGAATAATGCGTTAGTATTTTATTTTCACTAATTTTTGACAACTTTTAATAATCCATATTGTTTTTTGTATATTATTTAAAATTCTTTACTATAATTTTTATATTTCTCTTTATAAAAAAGAAAGGAAACTTTTTAAAGTTTTTCTTATTGTATTTATATTAATATTTTTTTTATTTTTTTATAATAGATTATTTTTATAATTCTAGGACGGGTAGTTATAATCTCTTAACGAATGAAAATAGCCCTTATGGTCAAGGTGTAGATGGAGCTATCAATGCTTTTTAGGATATCTATTTAAACTAATTACATTTATAATGTTATTTTATATTTACATAAATGTTACACGTGTATTAAATATTTAGATTGCAAAATAAATTACTAATTTTATTATGAGATATTAATTTTGTTGTCATTATTTGCAATACATGTATGATTAATCTTGTAGCTGATTAAAAGAATTCTGTGTATAAAATGGATAATAAAATCGTAAAGGCAAAACTTCTTTCATAAAGTATTCAATCTTTCATTCAAAGTATTTAATGATTCAGTACTCTTTTTAAAGTTTATTCAAACTGAGCCAATTTAAATTTTTTCACTAATTTTTTTCTGAATTATTTCATTTTTTTAAGCCATCACAATAATCTATACTTGAAATTACAATATTGAAGAGATTTTTTATATTATTATTTAATTATATTATTATTTTATATTTTTAAGTTATAATTATATCAGAATTATGATAATTCAAGAATAAGAAGAATCAAACTTTAAAATTATAATTAAATTTTCAAATGAATTAGTTAATATAAATATTCATGTTATTATAAATATTATAATTATAAATTAGAAAATATTATTATAAATTATATTAATTATTATAAATTAGAAAAATTTAGGACATACATAATATGCAAGAATACATAAAACACATAAAATATTCAAAGAGAAGTATTTAATAAATTTTGAATTTTCGAATTCCATTTTTTAAATCATGTTTTTAAAAATATTTGCATAAATATCTGCAGATTAATTATAATTATTATATGTTTTACTTTCAAGATCATATCATAAATAAATAATCACAAATTAAATATACATATGTTCCTCTTTTATTATCAATTTTGTATTAATCTTGTATTGATAATCCTGATAAAAATTTATATGTATGTGTGAAATAATATCAAAATATATAAACGAAAAAATGATTAAAAATGTACTATTTTTGTGAACAAATTGAAAAATTTGATCTGGTTTTTTTGATATCTTGGTTTCTGGTTTTCTTGATCAATCATAATCAATATTAATTGATCTGTAATTCATAAGAACAATAAATATTATTAATGTAATTAACGATACATTTCGATATCGAAAAAAATTAACATTATTTTAAAATCATTTTAAAAATTTCTATTCAAATTATATTAATAAATATAAAGCATTCCAAATATGTAGAGATATAGATAGTTTCTATATATTGTATAAATCATAGATAGTATCATATTTATGATTGTATAAATCATAGATAGTATCATATCTATAATTTATACAAAAGGAAAAGATAAAGATAGTGATTGATATTTGTAAGATATATATTATAAATCTCTTATTGTTTAACAGTTTTTGTTTACAATGTGGTACATTTCTGAATTTCAATTATTAAATCCTTGTTAACCTTACTATAATACTATTTGTATAAAAGAATAGATAAAAATATAGCAATTTAATATTTCATTAGAATTTTAACAAAATTAAATATGATTTATCTCTTGTATTAAAAAAATGAATGTTAAAAAAATATTAAGAATTTTATTTTGATTAAGATTATTATTATATTATATTATAATAACATCGTAAATTTTAATAAAAAGTTTGCCTTTATTTTTTATAGAATCTTATCTTTCTATATTTTAATTTTAGCTAAAATTTATATATAAAAAAATGTAAGAAAACTTATTATATTTTTATTTTTTCCTTCTTAATGTAAATAAATTAAAATAAATAAAGAAAAAGAATAGGTATGTAAAACATAAAAATATATCTACATAGATTACTTGTCTAATCACATTGTTCATTGTTACATAAATATTTTATACAAAATGTTTGGTATTAATTACAAAAAACGACAAAACTTATTATTACATTGATTAAAAAATTAAAAAGTTTTCTTCTTTTCGGGTTATATGTACTCGTATTTTTTAAATCAACGTTAATTTTCATACAATATCGTTGTAATATTTGCAATTCTTTTTTAACTCATGTTCTTTCACGATCTTCATACGCTATCTTTTTCCAAATTTTTACATCACTCAAATTTTCTATATATCGTACTCACTAATCTCATATTTACCCTCATTTAATATTTAATCACAAATTTAATTACAAAAATTCTTTATAATTGCTCCTCTGTATGAGATTCGAGGTAAGTGAATTGTCGTTGTAATTGTTGTGTCATTGGTCGGAAAGAATCATTCCGGAAGCTTGCACTTCTTGCAGGTGCAGTGTGATTTCCATTTGCTTTGCGACGAACACTAATATATGTTGTGCATGTGTTCATACGTCGAAGAACAGAATGATTTGAATCATTGAAACCTGTAATTAAATTATTGGTATTGTGTTAAAATAAAAAATACATAAATGAAATAATTTGATTATTAGAAAATATTTCAGATAAAACTTGTAGTTTCATTTTGATGTCGTTAGATTTTATGTAAATAATCGTATGATATATTTGTTTTAAATAGAATTATGTAATTTTTAATGCAGCTTGTTATTTCTCTTTGTATATCAATATATTTTACAAAATATATGTTACAAAAGAATGATTAAAATTTGAAAAATAGAAGAAAATTTGTAAATAATTTTAATGAACTAATATAATTATCAAAATATCAAAGTTGAAAACTTTATTTTATTTTTTCAATAATTAAAAAAATCGTAGAATTTTTCGATTTTTATTACCTCAAATATAGATATCAGAATCATATTATTATGTGAATTAAATTTAAATTTAAATTTAATTCATTTAAATTTCTAAAAGTTAAGTATAGTTTTTAAAAATTATATTTCTAATTCATTTTATTAAATTGTATTCAATGTTTTATAATATTAAATATTAGAATACCTGTTAAGGGAATATCCAAACTAGCATTATAATTATCACGTCTTTCCCTGCGAAGAATTCGATGTGTACCAGGTAAATGACCGATTGCTGTTATGAAGCCAGCTCGAAACCTTGCGTTCATCCAGCAATAAATTACTGGATTGTAACAGGAATGAGACATAGCCAACCAATGAAGAATCATCCATACAAAAGGAAACCAAGTCCAACTTCCAAGAGTTTCATTATTATCCATTATTAACTAAAATGTTTTACATTATCCTTAAAAATATATTGTGAAAATATAATTATTTTTTAAAATATAATATAATTTGATTTTTTAAAAAATGTGATTAAAAATTAATTTAATTAACTTAATTTTTGTGATTAAAATTTAAATTTAATTAATTTAAATTATTATTATTATTATAATTAATATTAAATTAATTTTCTTGTAATCTCTCTAAAATAAAATATATATTATTGTAACTGCTTTTTTTTGTAATATTTTGTTAGAATAGAAAAATAAGAATTATTGTTACTTACGTTCAATATATTGAATGGAAGCCAGCAGACAGTGAACACTATTACAACTGTTACCATCATTTTCACCATCTAAAATAAATATACAACTGATATTTTTTATGATTTTATGTAAGAATTTTATATAATGATTTTATATAAATAATAGTAATAATAAAAGTGCGTAATATTTAAAAAATTTCTAATTTAAAATTTTAATTAGATGAAATCAAAATAATTTAGAATCAACTTAGAATTCAAAAAAAATTTAATAGTTTTTTTATTATTCCTAATAATTTTCTTCATAATTTATGGTAAATTTATTATGGTATGTTTTGAAATATTCTTGAAAATACAAGTCAAATCATAAGAAAAATATGTTGGCTAAAATTTATAGGGAATATAAATTATACAAGTTAATGTGAATATATAGTTATGCTCGTAATGTTCCAGAGTCTATTATCTATCTATTTAAAGTTGCCTTATTTTACTGTGATGCTGTACATGTGATGCAAGCAACATTTTTCACCAGAGAAGTAGATTGCGATTAATTCATTTTTGTTTCTCATATGAATTTTAAAAATTAATTTTAAAATTAATTTTAAAATTAATTTTAATTTTAAAAATTAGAAATTTATTTTTATGATGAGAAATTATATAACACTAAATAAATTTCATTTTCAATATAATTTCAATAATACCATTGAAATAATAATTGAAATAATAATTTCAATAGTTCTGTTAAAATCAGAGATTACTTTCAAAGTAATATGTTTTCCATTTGACTGGATATTCATCTCGTATTTTTATAGGATTTTCGATCATTTCATTTTTATATAACAAATGTTTATCTATTAGATAAATCAAGTTTACAATCCCTGTTTTTTTTATACATTTTTCTTTTATTTCTTTTTTTAGCTAGAGTTTCTATGTTACTGTAATATTTTTTATCTTAAAATTCTTTTTTATATTTTTTACTTTTTATATTTTCTGTATATTATTTTTAATAAATAGTATATTTTATATATCTTTTTATTATTATTTTATTATTATTATTCTTTCTTCTATTTTCTGCATCATTTATTTTTCACATAGACATATATGACGAAATAATCATGAAATATAACAATTGTTTAAAACAATTAAGTAAAAAATAAAAGAAAATCTATCACAGTAATTCTCAATCAATTACGAGAATTAGATGCCAATTAGCTATATCAATAATTTTTACAATATATCATATACAAATTTATTCAAGTTTGTTTTTATTATTAACTAAACTGTCATAAGTTATTTTTTCAATAATTAATGAAGATATTTATTTTAAATGTGCAACAAACTTTTTGGAACAACTAATTAAAGAAAAGATTATAGATAATAGATTTATTAGTTTTTGAATATTTAAAATTCTAAATATATATATATATATATATATATATATATATATATATATATATATATATATATATATATATATATATATATATATATATATATATATATATATATATATATATATATATATATATATATATATATATATATATATATATATATATATATATATATATATATAATACGAAATATTTTGATGATTTTGTGATTTTTTGATGAATTTTTAAATTTTTATTTCAACAATACGCATTTTTAAAGAGAATTGCTGATCCATCCTATAATTCCTCATGCTTACTATTATTTTTTTTTGCCAACAAAAAATACACAAATATTCTTATTTTTATAGAATAATTATTGTTTTCGAATTGTACATAAAAGAAATTAAATACATATAAAAAAATTATAGCTATCAATTCGATTATTTTCTGATTATTCCTATCATTTGTACTTTTCTTTTTATCCTTTTTCTATTTTGCCTTAACTGACATTTGTTCTTCTGCTCGCTTTTCAGACGCCATTTCATTCTCTTTACGTTCGAATACACTCCAATAAAAACGAATGCTTCTGTTATCGTACTCGTTACGGATAGAAGTATTTTCAGGTGCTCGTGAAATAAATTAGGACACTTGTATTGAAAATAATTATACGAATTATAAATATTTTTACTACTAGATTTCTAATAAACTCGATGTATTGGAACGAATCAAATTATTTATTTCGTTTCTATTCACAATCAATGGAACAACACAGCCTTGATAATTGATTCATCGTTCAATCATCATTTTTTGTCTTATTGATTGTTTAATCATTGTTTCAAAATAACGAAATTGAATTTTTATTATTATTGAATAAATAATTATGAAAAAAATATAATTTTGTTTAAAAAAAAATAAAATTGACTTTCATGTGACCTCTATGAAATATTTATCTATGAAAAAATAATCACTCTCAAAATGATTGAACTTTATTTGAAAAATTATTAATCTTTTATTGTTAACAACTTTTTTTATTATTTATTATTTTCAATCTTTTTTTCATTTATCCAAAAATTATTGTAAATAAATAATTATATATTATTATATGTCAAATATATAATTATTATAAATAAGTTAAATACGTAATATTAAACAAATTACAAGTTATATGAATTGTCTATGTCAATGATTACTATAATTGATTAAATTATCTATTAGTCATCATAGTTATCTAATCATAGTAATTATTACATGATTGTTAACATATTTTCAAAAAAATTTTAGTTAATACTTTAATACAATAAATAATTTAATAATAAAATTATTTATTATTGATTAAATTATTTTATTATTACTTCTGATAAAAGTAAAAATAATTTTCAATTAAAAATTGAATAATTTTTTTTCATTTGATCATTATTGAACGAATGATTATTTTCTTTTAAAAAAAAAATATCTATTCGATCAATAGAAGGAGAAGCAATTGTTTCTCCACGAAATATTTTAAAATGAAATATATGTTTATGAGACTTATACATTAATATTTAAAGAAATATTTCAATTGCATATATTAAATTATACGATTGCAATAAATCCTGCATATAGATCAGACGAATATTTTATTTATGATACTTTATTGCAAGGATCTTATTTTAATGTAAAATGATTATTTTAATTTTTGTTGTTAATTTTATACAATTTTATACAATTATAATACATAATATCGATTAAGATCGATCTATAAATAGAATAATAAATTAAATATATTTTACTGGATATTAAATCATTCTTCTTTTTTTCATTCATCCATTTTTATTCTTACAAATTTGATCTAATTTATTTTACTGTGTGATTAATTAAAATAAAAAATTTGATATAATTAGTGGTTAAAGAAAATATAATAAAATTTTAGTTAAATATTTTATTAACGATATTGTCACGATGAATACATTTCATAAAGAATAATTTTTGTCTTGATATTTTCAATATCTTTAAATAAAAATAAATTTCTGTTTTCATTGAAAGATATCCAAGTTAAATTAATTAATCAATTAAATGAATTAATTTATATTATTAGAAATCATTATTTATATTTAAGAATGGCAATCCAATACAATTCATATTCGTTCAATTTCTCATTTCTTCCATTTAAATAAATAAACAAACATTCAGAGTAATTTCAGATAATGAAAGAAGAAATAAAGATACCGATCGAAAAAATAAAAAAAATAAATTCGTTTCTCATATAAAATCTTACCTTCCTTTTTGAACGTGCCATTCTCTGATCTCTGATATTTTCAGCTTCTCCTGGTGGTCGTTTACCCCAAACCATAATAGCGATGCTGGTATAAGTGAACACTAGTACTGTTATTGGTATCACATATTGAAGAACCAATAAGGCGATCGAGTAATAATATCTGCAACAAGTGAAACGCGCAAAGTGAATATAAAATCGATTGTCAAAAGTCATCATCCTTTCCTAAGTTCGATAAGACATTAATAGGTGATGAATTCGAGAGGAATGGAAAAATTACAAAGTTTCCCCTCTTTGTTCTCGAAATTTTCGATTAGAATGAGGAAGGCTAAAGCAATTTTAAACAGTGAATTAACATAAAATGATAAATATTGGATAGATTTAAAGTTTATTTGCATATTTAATTTCGATGATCTTTCCCTATAATAGATAATAATATTTATGAATTCTTTCAAAAGGATAAAAAAATACTTTATCAAACAGTGTTATATTTAGATTAAAGAAGAATTATTTGTAAATGTATATCATATAGAAATTATGAAAATTATAATTATTATGATAATTTGATTTTTTTCTATAAATCTTCCAATTTATAAGTTTTTGATTTTAAATTTTTGCTGAATATTTTAATTCATTGATATAGCATTTAAAAATATATATGACAAATAATCTATAATTATTATATACAATATTCTTATATACTCTATAATATTCTTAATATATAATTTATTATCATAATTTTAATCATCATATGAGATTTGATAAAGAATATATACATATGCATTGATAATTACCTGTTTTCCAACGATGGCCAAACTTCAATGCAGATATATTGATTGCATCTTTTATATTGGATCGATGGTTGGAAGAGCTTTGAAACAATAGCGATAGGGAGCGATATTACCATAGCCAGCATCCAAACAGCGAGAATTAGAAGTTGAGCTTGCCGTTTGCTCAATCTTGGTTTCAAAGGCCACATAATAGCTATGTAACGATCTATACTGATCGCAACGAGCGTGTAAGCACTCACTAGAACTGATACTGCCTGAAAATATGATCGGATTAATTATTTCTTCTCCTTCACTATTCTTTCAAAATCTGAATATTATAGAAAAATTATGTTTTAGATTTTAAAAGGCAGAAGAGTAGGATAATTAATTGTTAACTTATTTTTTTAATCAACAAACTTAATGAATATACCCAAATATGATATATACAGATAATAAGATAATTAATTAATTAAATAAATCACTTTTATTTTTACTAGTTAAATTGGTATATGATATAATGATATAATTAAATGATATAATTTTATTTAATTATATTAAGAAGAGATTTGTTATTTTATTTGACAATAAAAATGATTTCTTATCTGATATTGTATTATAACAAAAATGTTGCAAAGATAAATATAAATGATATTCCAAAATATATCGTAATCACATTCTACTTCATTTAAAATGATTTTTTACAACAAAAATGCAATAACAAAAATTTTAACAGAAATTTTAACAAATTATATTCAAAGATTTTTTTTAATTATTCTTACAAATTTGTGAAATAATGAAATCATAGATAATCATTTGAAAAATCACACGAAGAAATTATTTTGATTATTGTATATTATTAATATGAATATATAGATCAATTTATATTGCACATCTTTATTCAAGAAAATGAATTTTATTAATTTCATATGTTTCAATATTAGTAAAGAATTTGTTGTTAAAAAAAAAGATTAGAAATTTTGCAAATTTCAATATTTGATTTCCATTTTTGAAAGGATTTGAAAGAGTCAGCAGGAATATCAATAGCGAGATATCCTTTTGTTGGACGAAGCTTTGTCACCTATCTTGACGGAATTCAAGTGGAAATTAAAAAATAGAACCGATAAAATCTTTCGAAATCGAAGAAAATTTTCGTTCTGCGTTACGTAGTTACATGAATATCCATAATTTGAAATATAAAGCTGATTTGATGCATAATTGATGCGTAAACAATGTGAGATTTATTTATTTATTAATCATGGCTGAATACGAAATTCGTGAACGATCGCGTTATCAACAAATTTATGTATTTATCGATCGTACATACGTATTTTCGAATCAAGTTTCTGAGAGAATTTAAATCGATAAATTGGAAATTATAATTCTTAAAAATAATTAATTTTTGCTTCCCAAATTATTTCGCAGAATTTATTCCTTGATTATAAAATTCCTTGATTATATTGATTTTAAATAGTGGACATAATTATCACTATATATATATATATATTGACAAATTTTGAAAAAAATTTTTTTTAATTTTCGTATTTGAATAATTTATATTTTTATTTTGTATAATAATATTTTCATAGAATAAACATTTTACACTTTATTTTAAGATGAAATATTTTGTCAATATTATTTTATATAATTATATAATATTTTAAATAAATTTTAAAAATATTGTAATTATCTTAAAATCGAATTACTTATATCAATTTATCATAAATTGATTATTAGCAGGATTCCAAAAGCTATATTGATGGAAATTTGAGCAAGCGATAAAGGAGAGAAGATGTATCTAAAATTTTAGTTTTGAATATTTATTAATTTTCTGAAATATTAATAAAACTTTCAATATTATACATGTATATTCAATGTTATACATATTCAATATTATACATATGTACACAAAGTTACACATTTAATACTGTATTTATCTATTTTATTATCAATATAATAATTTTTATTTACATATTTACTTTACTTTCATTGAATTGAATAATAATAATGAAATATTTATCGTGGGAAAATATTCTTAAAAAAAAAAATATTTATTTTATAAGAATCTTTGTTTTGTTTTATAGGAATAAGAATTAAAAAATATTTAATAAAAAATAAAAAAACTTCGATTTGTTTTATATTCATAGCTCATTTTTAAATTTGCATTTATTAACTAGATAATTTATTATGTTTTTCATTCTGTTCATACATATATATGTATAGATATACAAATAAAAATTAATTAAGTAATATTAAATTCAGCGAATCTACAAATGTGTGGTCAATAAGCGAGGAATAATTTTATAATATAAAAATTTAAAAGATTTCAAGATAAGAAAAAATGTTATTTTTCCAAAATTTCAAAACAATATATGAAATGTATAAAATTCATAAAATTAGGATTTTATTATTTATCATTTTTTTTTATTTTTTGCGAGAATATGTACTTTCATTCAACTTCTTTTCTCATGTTTTTTCATTGTTGATTTTTATGATATTATAATATTAAATCTCGTAAAATATTTACATAGCATAGATCGAGTAAACCATGTTCAAGCAAATGGAGCAACAGGCGACAGCCATTGTAAGTGATTCTTCAATTTGTTAACACTAGAACAACTAAAAATCTATAAATAAATATCAAAATGACAGATTTCATTTTTCGATAATTTATAAGAATATTTTTGGCAAAATTAATATTGATTTTAGTGAAAGAGAAATATAATTTCATGATATTAATTTAACATTAGATGGGAATAATAATTGAAATAAAAATTAAAATATTTAAAAATTTTTCTCTTATTTTATTCAATTTTGTATCACGTCATTTTTAATCCTCTTAAACTTATAAATGAATTTTGACTATATACTTAATTTTATTTAATGAAACTATCTCTTCCATTCATCTTTCCATGTTCCATTCATCAAAATTACTTTCTCCTTCCTTTCCTAGTATTAATCGAATTTTTCAAATTAATAATATAAAACGCTTCGTTATCTCAATTTATTAATTTATCGTGATTCATTGCCTTGATATCGATTTCATATAAATGGCACGCATCATTTTATTGTCCTATAAATTCTCTCCCTCTTTTAATCTTCGTTATTAGCGTAATATTATATGATAGAATGACGTATTTATAAAACTTTAATAAGATCTAAAAAAAAAAAAAATCTGATAAATTATACTGCCTCTATAAGAAAGATCATTTTTATTTTTCATTCTTAATAACAATATAGAACAAATTTAATGTATAAAAAGAAAAAAATTCTTACGAATTAAAAGTATTTATTTCATTCTGTGAATAATCTATCAATTTCCATAACTAATAAAATTTGCATAAATTTTAAAAAACATCAAAATTCGCATAAATTATTCAAATTCATACAAATTAATGTATAAATCAATTATTAAATTCGATTCTTTTTAATTACATTTCATTGATGATTGGTTAGTTCAGGAATCATTATTAGATATACAAGTATACTTTTTTTTAAAAATTGTACACATATAAATAATATAATTTATTATTATATCTTAATTTAAATATTATTAAATTGTCAAATAAAAATTAAATATGTCTATTTTTATTTTTTGATGAACATGACATTCTGCATTTAGATTGACAAATTATTTTTTTTGATAATTGAATATTCTCAGTGATGAATAATTAATAAATAATTAGTGTCTCTTGATGATGAATAATTACACTTATAAATTATATAATTGTATTGTAAATTAGATTTATAATTATATTTCTATTTATTTTCAATTGCTAATTTTGAAAATTGAATAATGTTTATTTAAACTTTAAAAATTTTTATTTTCCGATTTTGATTTTTCATTTATTTTCATCCGTTATGTAAAATTCTATTGTTTCAATAATAATTTAATTTAATATAATAATAATTATTTAATTTCGCTCATTGCTTTTGATTAATTTTTATTTATAAAACATATTAGAGATGTTTCTTTATTAAGACTAGATTTAGAGATTGATTGTTTGCTCACTAAAACTAAATAGAAATATACGAAACATTTTGTGTTTGAAAGTTTCACGAAAGTTTCTATTTCATAGAAAAGATTCAATCCTCGTGAAAACGAAAGAATTTCGAACAAGACTCAATTTGGAAGAATCTTTATCTAAGAAACTATATTCTTTTAGTTTTTATTATAGTACTGGAAAAGACTTTCAGTCAAAATTTTTCTAGACTTCAATTTTAAGAGACGAAAGAAATTTATGACTTCTTTTTTGTTTCTGCAAGTTTTGAATTAAAAATATTGCTAGATATCCAGATATTCTTTTAAAAATTATGGAATTGCATTTAGGAATTGTAATTAATATCAAATAATAAAATTACACAATAAAGAACAATTTTATAAATCAAATATAAAATAGTTTTAAAAAAAGGAAAAAAAATCAATAAATAAAATATTCTATCTCTAAAATATCTCTTTTTTTCTTATTTTAAAAATCATCGTTCACAACGACTCATTCTTTAATAATCATCTTTCTCCTCTCCATTGTCTTCTTCCCAACGTACAACAATGGGCCATTAAACGCACCTGCAAATAAATAACGGTCGGGCAGAGTTCCGGACCAAACGGCCAATATTGCAATATTAGTGTACTGATGGAGCTGGTTGGAACGCAGAACAAGGCTATCAGGATGTCTCCTAGAGCAAGGTTCACGATGAAGAAGTTGGTGACGGTCTTCATTCGGGGGCTGCTGTGCACTACGTAGCAAACCAGGCCGTTTCCTGTTAACGCAACCACGAATACCGTGCTATACACGAAATAAATGATACCGCGAAACCAGCTTGTGGAGAAGATGCTTTGGGATCCGAAGTAGTTGCAATCGTCTGGATTCGTAAGATTTAATTTGTAGCCTGCCAGACCATCCAACAAGCCATTCGTTTCGTTGCTCATGCTCATCGTGATCCCTCGTGCTGCATTCTGATCTGAAAATAGGATTTATTCGGAATGTTAGGGATCGATTTGCGGACAGAGAGGAGTTGAAACGAGCAATTTTGTCTGAATTATAGGGTTACGCCATTGTCCGCTCTTTTGGAAAGTTTTGGGACTACGTGTACAGATTAGGTAAGGTATGTAATCAAATCCTTTCTAAAATGAGAAATGGTTTAAGACTCGTCAAGGCCAAACGATGCTTGACACAACTTTTTTATTTAATGGATGTATATAATATTGAGATAAGATATTGAGATGAGATTAATATATTCGTGAAATATTTTTCAAACCTTAAAGGTAGAGACAAAAGAAACATTAAATATTATAATATATAAAATGTTTCATGAGTTAATATTAAAAAAACGAATCGGAATGTTATTTATCTTTTACACGCTTTCAAAGATTAATGCCGAACGTTTATTGAAATCTACATATATTTGCATATCTTTTGATATTGTAGTTGGCATCGAGACGTTTTCGAAACATGAGGATAATATGGATCTTATCACTTTAATTAAAGGTATTTATCTTTTTGAATTTTGTTATTTCGAAAAACAATTTAATGAACTATCGCACGTGTTGCACATTATACGTTGGATTATTATAATCAAAATGAGTATAATATAATATATTTAAATAATAATAATATTTAATAATAATATATTTTAATAATAATAATATATTTTAATAATAATAATATATTTTAATAATATATTTAAATTATTAAATAAAATTTAAAATTATTAAGAAATTCTTGAATTTGTTAGATAGATATTTCTTCTGACATTTAGAGATTCAAATTGCAAAAAATTATCAACATATTGATGAATAAATTAGATATAATCTATATATATAAAAATATAAAAATACAATTGCGATATATACGTGATATTTTGCATAAAGGATTGGCAAAGGCAATATATTGAATATTAATTAAATTTGTTTAAGTTCCTCTTCTTTCCAATTTCACTGGAATGGTAAAACCTATATACCATCGTGATTAACTATTGTACGCGAATTTTCAATTATTTCACTATTTTCCACGTTGAGTGGAAATCTCTTTCATCTTCTATCGTGTTAAAATCGAATAGCTTGTCTTTTTCACACTCGCTTTTTATCGACACGTATCTACGCAGTTTGGAAATTCAACGCAGTTTTCAAACAAAATCCTGATTAACAGAACATTCTGTTGTCGATAAGATTTTATTGGTGTGACATTTATGTCGAATTAGAAGAAGAGAAAAGAAAAAAAAAAGAGGAGATATAGCGAAATTCCATTTTTAATTGAGATCCGTGGATAGAATAGAATAGTTTGCTACGTGGTCAAGTAATTTGAATAATTAAAATGCAAGATGTTCGTTTAATATTCTAGAAATAATATTCTGGAAATTTAATTTAAGACTTTCTTTGTTAATTTCATATATTTGTGCTTTTGCAAATAACAATGATGATTTTAATTGGTTATTTGAAATTTGATTTCCTTTAATGTTTCATTCGTTTAAAGAAAAGATTTAATGATTCGTTAATTGTATATTATATAGAGATATTAATATCGAATTTAATAATAAAAAGTATTCATAATAAAAATAACATACATATGCAATAATTAGAAGATCTTATTTCTTTTTAAATAAAAATAATTTCTATTAATAATAATAATTATATATAAATAATTGAGTTATGAAGAAGTCAAAATTAATTAACTTTATTTTTTTAAAAATTTATATTATAATATAATAAATTGCAAAATGAATAATATCACACGAATATATCATATTAATATATCAACATTGCATATAATGTTTATTTAGAATGACATTTCATTGTATTATAAATAAATAATTAATTTCTGATTTGTTATTTATATCCTTAATTTATAACGATAATTTCATATAAATATTATTAACAGTGAAAGAAACATATTAATTATTTATAATAATTGGAATATCATTTTTTTTAATTATTATATATGCACATAAGTATTTCATTATTAGTTTTACCATTTAATTATTTATTATCTTTTTTAAGTAATTCAATCATAAATTTAATTACTCATGGTTGAAATCTTTCTAGGTGGACAAAATTTATTTTTAAGACTTTTTTAAATTTTGCAATTACTTTCAGAAATAACTAAAGAATTCTAAATAATTATTTAAATTTTAAATAATTCATTTCAGCTTCAAATAAATTCAATATTTAATATATGTGTAAGTTGTACAAAATTGGTTAATTTTTCATTCAAAAATCATGAATGAAAAATAGCGAACAAAAACGATAACCTGTTTTGAAAACCTGTTTTGTTTTTTTTCCTATAGTAAATATTTTTACTATGTAAAGAAAGAAAAAAAGAAAAAAGAAGAAGAAACATGCACATATTTCGAATGATCAAATTATAATTTTGAAAAAAAATAATTTATTCAAAGTAAAAATATGAAGTTTATTCGGATATGAATAAAAAATAGAAAATAGAAAAATAGAAAAAGAATAGCTTGATTAAAAAGTAAATTTGAAAAAAATCAATGGATGAAAAAGTGATAATAAGGATAATTTTTAAAATTTTACGTACATAATTTAGTTTTATCAAATATCCATATTATTAAAAGCAAAAATTCTTTTTTTAAAGAGAATCAATTGTTACGATTTTAAAATGCATATATCGTTCGTTGAATTAAAATTTAATATCTTGCATGCATAAAAATATCACAGAAACAATATAGCTTAAATTGAAAATAAATATTGTCACGTTTATCGAAAAATATTTTTTAATTTCATCGAGAAGATTGAAATTTATCCGATGTTTCTTATTATTTTAATAAAACTAAATAAATGAAGAAAATAAATAATTACTTTAAAGTTTTTTTTATCGTAAATTTTATTCCATTCTTCTTCTGTGTTTTGAATGGAATTAAATTTTTTTGAAAAAAAAATTGTTTTCAAATTAATTCTGAAATTTTATTTAAGAAATAAATTATTTTTAAGTGATTTATTTATTAAATATTTTATTATTTTAATTAATAAAAAATAAAAATTAACAAGTTATAAATTTTATATAAATTTCATATATAAGAGGTTAATATATATATATTATATTAAAATAAATATTATATAAAAATATTATATAAATTTTATATAAAAATTGTTTTACATAAAATAAAAAATTAAATTCAGTAGAAAAATAAAGATTAAAAAAAGATTGAAAAATTTTTAGTGAAGATGTGAAATCGTGTGAACGTTATTTTAAAATCATATCGGATTAACTGCAAATCTTGTTTTTAAAAAATATTTGTTTCGATTGTGTATCATGCAAACCAAAATCCTTAACAATAATTTTTTTTTCTGTATTTCATTGAATAAATAATCCATTTTTACATTGATTATTTTTGATTCAAGGATTTATTTTATTTTTAGTATATTTCTCAATAACCTAGATACTTGATTATAAGCTTATCGATGGTGATATCCGATAGGTCAGAGCTTTGTCTTTCCTATATATCCAGAAACGGAAACGCCAATGTATTCTAACGTGACATTTATGTTTCTTGTATACAATCAATCACAAAAGTGTTCATACAAAGAAATCCATTTAACTTGAAAAATTAAATTTTAATGAAAATTTATATGTATATCATTTTAAAAATCTCTTTGAAATTAATCTTACAATTTTTATCATTGTTTATATATAATTTCAATTAAAAATGTTTCTTATAATAGGATAATAGATCACTAAATTCTAAATATTTTAATAAGTTTAAAATTTTTTCTTTATCTTAATATAAAGTTATATTTAAGAAACGAAAAAATAATATTGAATTATTTTTGGTTTTTTTGAAAAAACTTATGCTTACTAACTTATATTAAGTGAATACTTTTGCGACTGATTGTACATAGACCAAAGATATTTTCAAAGTCCTCTCGGATTGTTCTACATCAGAATGATTGAAGTAATAATAAATCAGTATTCGTAGATAAAAGTATAGATACAATCAATCTTTTAGAATGTTCGTTTTATTAGAAATTGTCAGGTGTATGTTTTTTATATGTTATATGTATTTCATTTAATATCCCTTAAGCATTCCCTTTTCATTAGAATGTTAGCTTTCAAAAAATTAGAATGGGATTGTCTGTTGAATTTATTCATCGAGGAGAAGATTCTTTATTCGAATGGAAAATTTGAACTGACAATTTCTTTTCTATATAATAGATAGCTCTATGAATATTAAGCCTTGGAAACATCCGATAGCGATTAATTCTCGAATATTTCACTCGATAGAGCAACGGCAATCTGACAGTCGAAGGATCCGTGTTTAACTTCCGATTTAACAAATCAATTCTTCGCCTATAGATAGAAACTATCTCGCTTATGGCTTATTTTTCTATGAAATCGTAGAAATTATAGTATATAATAAATGTAAATTTTATTTTTGTCATTTTATTATTTAATATAATTATTATTTAAAATTAAATTATTTAATATAATTATCTAATTCAGCATTAAAAGCTAGATATTAAATTGAGAAAAAATATAAAGATCAAATATTATTATTAAAACTAAATAATATTTATGTCAGTTTCATTTCATATATTATTTATTTACTTAAAATGTTTTTTTGTTTAAAAGATTCTTAAATCCAGCTGGATCATCATTGGTCTATTAATTTATATATATGTTTATATATTTTAAAATTTTATTATTAGAAATTAATAAAATTAAAATTAATAATCAATCATTATATAGTTTCATCAAGCTTTTAAGAATTTTTATTTTTTTAAATTCTATTATCATATTTAATAAAATTATAATATTATTAATTTTTGATTTAATAAAAGAATTATTATAAAACAATGTTATCAAAATATGAATAATACATCAATGTGTAATTAATATAGAAAACAAAATTCTCTATTATGAATACGTGAATCGAAGAATGTTTAAACATTCGTTATATGAATTTTGCGATAAAATATCACTCCATAAAGATGGTAGATAACATAT